TAATTAAAATAAAAAGACGATGACAAGTCTCAGTGAGGATGTGGAGAAACTGGAACCCTTATCCATTGCAAGTGGGGTTGCAAGTGGGGTTGTAAGATGGTGCAACCACTTTGGAAAACAGAATAGCAATTTTCCAAAATGTTGAACATAGAGTTATTATATGACTCAGGAGTTCTAATCCTATGTATATCTCCAAGAATATTAAAAACATATGGCCATGCAAAAACCTGTACACGAATATTTATGGCAACATTATTTACAATAACTAAAAAAATGAAAAGAGCCCAGATGTCCACCAACTGATAAATGAATAACAAATTGTGGTATATCTATGTAATGGAATATTTCTCAGCCATAAAAGCAATAAAATATTGATATGTGCTAAAATATATATGAGCCTTGGAAACATTAAGCTAAGTGAAAGACATCAGTCACAAAAGGCCACATATTGTATGATTTCATTTATAAGAAATTTCCAAATTAGGAAAATTCGCAAAAATCGAAAGTAGGTTTGTGGTTCTCAGGGGATGCGGGTAGAGGGACAGAGGCCAGCTGCTAATAGGTAAAGGGTTTCTTTCTGGATTGTTGAAAATGTTCTGACATTGGATAGTGGTGACGTCTGCATAACCGTGAATATGCTTTAAAAAGCCAGAGTTGTACATTTTAAAAAGGTGAATTTATAGTATATGAATTTCATGTCAATATCAAAAAACACTCAATTCTATTAACCATAGGCACAAGGTTTCAGGCTTTTATAAATCTTTTGATCCTGAATTTTGCCAAATAAAAATCCTTTAGAGAGTTAAGCCTGCCAAGTGATTTCTCTTTCTTTTTCCCCACTAAAAAAAAAAAAAAGCTGGTATTGTGTTTGTATGAAGATGAAAGAATTGATTAAGAAGTGAAAAAAGCAATTTAACTGGTTATTTAGTTTTATTAAATTTAAACTTTTTGCCTTTTATTTCAGGTGAACTATTGAGTATATTAATTTTTTTTTCAATTAAAAGTGTGAAAGAATGAATCCTATTTCAAGTATTCCCCAATTGTGCATTTGGGGGCTTATGTATAACAGCTTTATTGAAATATAATTCACATATAAATTCATGCATTGAAGTACAACAATCCATGATATATTCACAGATCTGTGCAGCCATCAGCACAGTTAATTTAGAACATTTTCATCACCTCAAAGAAACCCTGCTATAAACATTCGCGTGAAAGTTTTTGTATGGATATATGTTTTCATTCCTTTGGGTATAAAACTGGAAGTGAAATTGCTAGGTCTCACGGTAAGCTATTTTTAACCATTTGAGAAACTGCCAAAGTGCTTTCTAAAGTGGCTGAACCATTTTACATCCCCACCAGCAGAATACGAAGGTTCCAATTTCTCAACATTCTTGCTAACTCTTGCTATTTCTACCCCCTCTCTTTTTAGAATTTTAGCAGTCCTGTTGAGTGTGAAGTGATATTTCATTTTGGTTTGCATTCCCTGATGATTAGTGATGTTGGGTATCTTTTGATGTCCTTATTTGTTAGTTTGTCTCCTTTGCTCATCTTCTATCTGAGTTGTCTTTTATAATTGAATTGTAGGAGTTCTTTATATATCTAGATTCGAGTTACTTATCAAGAGTATGGCTTTCAAACATTTCCCCCTATTCTATGGTTGTTTCTCACTTTCTTGATGGTGTCCTTTGAAGCATAGAACATTTCGATTTTGATGAAGTCCAATCTGTTTTTTCTTTTGCTCATGTATTTGTTATTCTCTAAGACTCCACTGACAAATCCGAAGTCATGTAGATATACACCTGTTTTCTTCCAAGAGATTTTCAGTCTTAATTCTTTTAGTATTTCATCCTGTTTGAGTTAATTTTTGTATATGGTGTGAAGCAAGGTCCAACTTCATTCTTTTAAATCTGGCTATCCACTTACCTCAGAGTCTTTTTTTGTCGAAAAGACTCTTCTTTCCCCTATTGAATGTCTTGACATCCTTTTTAAGTGTCAGTTGACCATAGATAATATGAGTTTATTTTTGACTCTCAATGCTATTCTATTGATCTACATATCTATACATATGCTAGTAACATACTGCCTTCATTATTGTTGCTTCGTAGTAAGTTTGTAACTAGGAAGTGTGAACCTTTCTACTTTGTTATTTTCCCTGATTGTTTTTGTATATTCTGGGTCCTTTGCAATCCCATATGAATTTTAGAATCAGCTTGGAAATTTCTACAAAGAATCCAGCCGAGTTTCTGACAGGGATTTTGTTGGATATGTAGATCAATTTGGGGAGCATTAGAACTTAAAAATATTCCATTTTATTATCCATAAATAGGGGATATTTTCTGATTTTTTGATATACTGCTTAATTTTTTTAAGTAATATTTGTAGTTTTCAGAGAACAAGGTTTAGACTTTTGTTAAATTTATTCCTTAATATTTTGTTCTTTTTTATTCTATTTTAAATGGGATCACTTTCTTAACTTCTTTTAAGATTGTTCATTGCAAGTGTGCAGAAATTGTAGAGGGGAAGAGAATTTTGCTTCCTCCTCTGAAGGTTGGGTCTGCTAACTGAACTGACAATAGACAAATTAACTGAAGAAGATAGATACAAATTTATTGTTATGCATAAGCATGGGAACCACACAAAACATGAGACTCCAAGAGGGCCAGATTGTTGAGAGTCAAACACTCTCTTCATAGGGGAGAGAGAAATGTGGCATATTGGCAATTTTGAGGTATAGTAAATGATTTTCAGAAGAAATGAATAAGCCCAAAGAACAGATGATGGCCTGATACAAAGTTTCTCTGAGCTCTGAGGGAGGTCTGGGAAGGTAAGGGGAAGAACTTCCCTGTGAACCAAAGTTATGTCATTCTTATTGTATAGATAAAATATTCCAGGTAAACTCTTGAAGCTGTCCACAGAAGAATAGACTGAAAGTCTATTTGGGCATGGTGGAGACTTTTAGTCTTTTCTCCTCTCCAGTGGTTAATTTTCTGTGGTTATATTATGAGATTCTTGGGGTGGGGAGGATCTTAAGACAGTTGCATTTCTTTTGGAAGTTTTTCTCAGTCAATATAAGGGAACATCCAGAGACAGCTCCTGTTTGGCTTAGGGGCAGGGCGGAGGATAAATAAGACAAGGTTAGGAAGTCTTTGGTTTTGATGCAGCTTCCAAGGCCTTCCAGTGTCCTCTAATTTAAAACTGCTCAGCATGCCAAAGCACGGTGCTTTGGGGTATTGTTCTCTGAGCTCTAACAAAATACAAATGATTGCTTTATACTGATCTTGTTTAGTGACTGGTTGGATTACTTTAGTGAAGTCTATCCATCACCCCACATAACCCCAGGAACACACGTAAACACACAGAACATAGAGCCTCTTAGGCTGCTCCTCAGGGGCAATTCCCCGGGTATGTCCACAGTCACTCTGGGATAAGTGTTTTTGTCAGGGCTGTCTGTATCTTGTTACCTAACCACATCCATTTGTGAAGCTCCACTAATTGCTGACTAATTGCTATACTGTTTGCAATAATGCTTTGTGGTGTAAATTGCTTCACACACTAATCCAATCAAATTCAGTCTCCTTTGAAGGGATAGTTCCTATGATCAGTGTTGGAAGTTTATTCATACTCCGGCAGGGCTATTCCAGCTGTTTGTTTCCTCATTTTTCTCTAGCAATTAGTAGAATTACAGTTTAGCCTATACCTCCAATAAATAAATCTATTTTCAATCTCCTCCCAATTGCCTTTTTCCAAAACTACTGTTTTTGAGAGCACTTTTAGGCTTAAATTTCACCCTCTGTAGCAAAGAAAGGCAATTTCTTTGGGGAGAGATTTCAAGCTCTCTGTTCTATGGCCTGCTTCTCTGCTTAGGTAAAATATCTGACTCATAGCTGTGGTGCTAGAGGAGGGATAATAGTGCATTTCTCTCTGAGTGGCACCTAGGCTGAGTGCTCAGGCGATGCAGGTATCCTTGGCTTCTTTCTCTGGCATAGAATCTCCTGGGGCAAGAGCAATTGGGACCCTAGCATCCTAAGTGGCACTGTGCCCAAGGTACAGCCTCATGCCAAGAGTGACAGCTGGGTGGGAGAATGGAGGTCTCACCTCTTGGTTGTACTTGCCAGAAAGTTGCCTCAGCAACAAGTAACCGAGGGCAGTCAGAGAAAGGCTGATTGATACCCTGTGCCTCCCGTAAATGTAGCCCTCCAACTCAGAACTGGGTAGGAGGCCAAGCCTTGTGTTCTTAGCTATACCAGTCTGGAGTGGAATTTTCATCATACTGAGCTGGGAGTGGGGAAGGAGGGTATAGCTTTTAGTCCAAATACCACAGACTCTCACAAATTTATGGAGTTTTAGTAGATTTTTTAAATAAATGCTTCCTCCTTTGTTATATGCACATAGGGCTATTTCCAGAGACTTTAAATTGCTATTTTAAAATTAATTTTTGCCAGTTTTGTGGAGGACCCATTCTACTGAGATTCTCACATTGTCATGCCAGAAATGGAACTGGGAAGAAGGAATGTTGATCCAGTATGGATTAGCATTGTCTTCAGCTCAGTGCTTGAAGTATATTTGGTTGCTAGTGAAAAGCCTAAAATATATTTGTAGTAATAATAATAATTTAGTATTAGACACTAATATAATTAGACACTAATAATTTAGTGTCTCAGAAGCAAAGCCTAAGATGGGAATTCTTATGTAGGTGATTTTTTGAGGGAATCCTTTCAGAAGTAAACTTTTGAAGACTGGCGACACTGGGGACAAAAATTGCCAAGCATCTCTTGAGGGAGGTGGTGCGAGTCTTTATCTGCCAATACCCATGGCAGCTAGACATGGATATCTGCCAGAGTTGGGGTTAATTGTGGCTGCTACAAGAATCTAAATCTGCCTCATAATCATCATAATAATGGTAATCAAAATACTATAACAGCAACTTTTGTTGGCTATTTTTTACCTGTTTTCAAACTTTACACTTATTATCTCTTATTCTCTTGGCAACGCTGTAGACAAGATGTCAGCCTTTCATTTAGGTGAAGAGATGAAGACATTCACTCACCTGGTCCAGGTCATCCAGCTTGGTGCTGGAGCTCAGTCTCAGACGCAGCCTGTCTGACTCCAAGGCTTTCCTCTGTCCATTTCCTACACAAACTCTATCTGGATGAGGTGAAAGAGAGAGAAACAAAAGGAGAGTAAAGGAAAGGAAATGAAGACTAGAATAAAATAGCAAAAAGCTGGCACACTCATGGGAGTGCTGGGGCAGGACCAACAATTGTTCCCGTGACCCTTCAATAGCACAAATGCCTGAGTTCAGCTTTGTCACAGCTCAACAAGCCTGAGATTTCTTGATCAATATCACCCCCAGAGTGAGAATTTGGGGAGCATTGCAGATGGGTCTGTTCCCACTCAATATGCTTACATTACTTGGTTTAGAAAAGGGTAGGGGCTGTTTCCTGAAATCAAGACCTCTGTATGATAAATATTCTCTTTCAAGCTAAGTGGCAGTGGAGAGACTTCAAGTGGTGCTACAAACCCTTAAGCCCGATTGTGGTTCAAGTGCTAAATATTTAGGTGCTACATGAGCATCAATTTCAATGGCACCCTGCAGGGATTTCCTCAGGAGGAACTATGTTTTGTGAGTATGCACCTGGTCTCTCTTTAATAAGTGACAATGTGACTTACTTAATAAGAAGAAAGTGAGGGAAGACTAATAGACCGAGTCATACTGGTTGTTACATGTGACAAGCATTTGTTTTCTTCTTTCATTGAAGAGGTTTGGTGGAGTAGATCTTAGAGACCGTTTCAAAACCTTTGCTTGTTTACATTAGGCTCAAGAGAAATTGCCATTCATTAAGAACAAGACTCCAGTGAAATGAGAAATGATACACCTAATTAAATCAATATTTGTCAGTGAACATGTAGTTCAAGTTAAAAATATCTTTCTCATTTTGTTTTGTTCATTCAAAACACATTGTCAAATAACTAACTCTCTCAAAGTATTCTTCAAGAAATGGCAGCCATGATACCAAATGGTGTACCATTTGAATACAATAGAAACATTTGAAAGTGGTAATTTTAATCATAAACAATATCTGTCCTATTCTAAAACAGAAATTATGATTTCAGACCCAGAAAAGCCAGAGCATCTGAAAAGTTAATAACTCCAACAACAAAATCACAAAGACCTCATTGGCATATGAATATTGTAAGAGTAATAACAAAGACATTTGGGAAAAATTTATATCTATTGTATTCAAATGGATTATTTTCTAAAGTTTCCTCTAACATCTGCTTTTTCAATGCCAGCCAGCGAATGGTAACATGATTGAACCATATTTTTAACCTCTTGGGTTTCATATTGTTTAAATTTGTCATGCTACAATATTTTTTGACAGACAGCATTTCAATCTTTGTTTGAGATTCTTAGAGTAATTTCTAGGAGAGCTGAAAACTAACTTCTTAGGAAGTGATTCTTTATCTGTATCAGCAGAAATAGATTCAGATAACAGCTGGCTTAAGCAGAATGTGTGAAGCAATGGTACTAATGGTTGGTAATTGATGCTACATGACCACTCACGATGTTTAATTTCTTACAAAATCAGTTTGGTCTATAGTTTACTGTTATTTTTATTATCATTTTGATTTTATGTTGCAACTAGGGCAATCTAACCTATATTTTGCAAATACCAATGTTTTCTCTCAGATGTAATTTATTTGCAGTGAATTTTATTTTTAATGAGCCTTTCTTCCCCTTTCATGCCTCCACAACTCTAGACAAAGTCAACTCCCAATGGAGTGGATCAGGACCTCTTGATGTTTTCAATCTTACTTTTCCTCTTGTTAATTCTTGGGGCTGTATTCCAGTAAAATAAATTTAAAAAGTATCAGTGGCTGATAATATCTTACTAATTTCTAAGATTAACAAACAGCCATAAAAACTTATTATGCATGTACTATATACTGGATGGAGTTATGCTTATATCCGACATTATAACGCACACACACAGACCCCACGCAGGACTGCCCAGATTGAAATGTAACAATGGGCTCATGATTTTGAATAAATCAAATCGTATTATCTTCTTGATAATAGTTTGTGTTCAAATATGAAAGATAATGAGCATTATACAATACTCTTTCAAAGTCTACTGGCATTGATGGATAAATATATATTAATAAATATTGGCTTATTAAGAGGAGATATATCTCATTTTAGGCATACCTATTCATATAGTAGTCAGAAAAAGAATTATAAAACAGAGTAATTAGGAGTGGTTATTTATTCTATGTAAGGGTAACAAAGAAGATTTTTTAAAATTGTGAACTCTGATTTAAACATTATCATTAGTAATTAGATTTTAAAAATTTAATTTGTGCATTAGCTTTAGGGGTATACCTTTTACCATTACAACTGCACAGATTTATAAATTTATGTATCTGAGCTACTTCCTAAAGAATATCCATTTGGATAAAGTGCTAAATTCAGGTCAAATTACTATTTTCCTTTTTTTAATTGGAGATGGAGTCTCACTATGTTGCCCAGGTTGAAGGCAGTGGCTATTCCCAGGCATGATCATAGTACACTGCAGCCTCAAACTCTTGGGCTCAATCGAGCCTTCTGCCTCAGCCTCCCATCAAATTACTTTTTACATTTTGAAAACATTGTATTTTATTCTCTTAGAACATTGAGAGTAAATATGGAAGAAGCAGTAGCTAATATCTATTTACTATTTAGTTTTTTCAGACTCTTTGCTAAGTTCTCTCTCTCAGCATCCCATTTAGCCTCAGAACAATTTTTGAGATGAGTGAAACACAGGCACACAAGTAACCGCAGCTACACCGCTAGTAAGAACCCAGGTCCATATGACTGCAAACATCATGCTTTCAAAAAGAAAAAAATTTTTATCAACCATGAGAAACACAGCTAAAAACACCCTTATTTTGGAAGGAAATAATAAATATTTTTGAGTACAAAGGGTCAGATCATTACACTCCAGCTACATGTAAAATAGATTTTCTTTTCTAGTAGCCTAGCTTTGGGTTAAAACAATCTAGGCTCTTCCAAATTGGGGAATTAGTGACTTAATACTGAAAATGCTTGAAGAAAATGATTCATTGTACCAATTATAGCCTACTTGCATATTAAATGCTCAGTTTTTATGTGTAAACTATGCCAAATATAGGGCCATTTTAGCCACTGAAGTGTGTCTTTGTGTAAATAAAAGTCAGCTCTCATTGGTGCTATCGCAGCGATACAGATGGGCTATTCCTAGCATGGTGCCAGCCCATGGAAAGATCTTAGAGGCCACAGACTGGTTTGACGTTTGACTTGGCTGTGAACCAACTACCATATGATGATTCCATCCGTCTATTTTGATCGTCAGTTGTCTTCATTAGCATTCATTCTGCTCTGGAGATTCAGCCTTCACACAAAAGGTGGGTCCCTGGCCTCCCCCTTCTATAGCACAGGCTATGCGTATTTTATTAACTGCAGTGTGCATTGGCATCGTTCCTTGGTTCCAAACACTCTTGAAATGCTATCAACGTAAATAATTCTTTGTTCCTTGTCTATGAAGGAACCACAGGTTCAAAATCTCTGGCTCATTATGATGCTGTATTTTATTTCATTTTCCATATGGAGTGAGCATAGCCCATCTCTCAGAATGTGGTGAAAGATCTTTGCCATGTGAGTACAGCATTTTTCTTGTATTATTTCCTTCTATACTAATTTTCCTTTAATCCCCCTGCTTATTCCTGGAACTCCATCTATTGCTTCTCTCTGACTTTCAATTCTTCTTCAAAGTAACAGATGTCACATTTATGCCACTTCAGAATTTCATGTGTCAATATTCAATAATGCCTTTCACCACCCTTTCACCACTGCTTGAACATGAACTTAGAGCTCAGTCAGGCAACTGAGGGACCTAGGCTATGGAATGACTGGTTTGCCCTTTTCTTGACCCACTCTACCTCCAGAATAACAATAGAGCTTGGAAAAAACACTCATCGGACCCATGAGAGTTCTGAAGTGGCATAGGTGTGACATCTATTACTTTGAATGAATGCCATATGCTAAAGCACTAGAGCATCCTACAAGATCCCAGTGGGGCCGCAGCCCTGATCCTGCCTCAGAGGCTGCAGGACCTGGAAGCCACATGAGACACAGAGACAGCCAGAACTCTGGGTGACACACTGTGTCAGCATGTGTGCTGCCCTCTCTTCTGCAAGCAGCTGTATACTGGGCCTGGAGGTAGAGTCACTAGGATTCATTCATTCCTTACTTTACCCCATTCATTTATTCAACAAATATTTGTTTATTGCCTGCTATGTGCTAGGAACTCTTCTAAGACCTGCGACTGCAGCAGTCAAAAAAATTAGACTACTGGTAGAGAGCTCACAATCCTATTCCTGGCATCATGATTGTCTTTCTCCTTCTACGCCCACAAGTCATATGGTACCACTGTCAAGCATTTGCCAAGCATTTATGCTGTGCTAGGCACTCTGGTGTTTTACATAAATATTCCTTATTCTCATTATAATCTTGCTTGGCGGATACTCTTATTTCCATTTATAATTAGGAAAGTGAGACAGATAAAATAGTTGATTTTCTCAAAGTAGGTCGTGGATCCAGGATTCTGTGGACCCTAGTTCAGTTGGACTCCAAACTCATCAATTCTACACCTTCTTATGAGATAGTGGAAAGTCCTCCTGGACAGAGGGTTAAAGTACAGAGTGTATAGATCCGACAGCTTCCTGCAGCTCTTTGGAAGAGTTCCAGCTTTTGTCCAACCAGGACGGAGTTCAGGCTCCTTCCCTTCCCAGGGTTTTGGCAAACAAAGTTTCTTCCCCAGAAACCAGACTTTCTACTGTCTCTCCTCAAATTTTGTCCAAAGTCAGCAGATTCAACTTAAGTTTTTTTTTTATCTTTAAAGCCCTTCTCATCTGTGTATGGACAGATTTAAAGTTGTTTGTTCTCACCTCTCTTTTCTTTTTCTAAAGTACATTTAGCCTTTATGCATACCTGGCTTAAGTTTTTCAGTGTCATTTCCTGTATTGATTTAGTGCTTTCTTCCCCTGGTGATTGCATATGCATTAAATTAGCAGCTGTACTAGAAATTTGTACATGTTTTCATCAAGTCTGTCCTTACTAGTTATGAGCAATTAATATCACACAAGTTATATAACCAGTATGTGCCTCTATTTTTCTTTTCTAAAAGTCAATAATATGTATCTCTTAGGGTTGTTGTAATAACCAATTAAAATAATATTCAATAGTTATGGAACTTACTCAATTAATAAATATTAATATTTATTAAAATGTTAATAAATGTTAACTTATTACATAAATGTTAAATATTAATAAATGTTAACTTATTATTATTGGGATCTGGTAGAGTGCGTCAGCTACCCCATCAGAACAGGCTCATAGGAGGAAGTAGTACCCGGCGATAACTCACCCACAGGGGACGCTGGAGCTGAATGCATGTCCTGGGATGGATATTTAGGTGGCAGATAAGCAAGAATAGATATCCAAGGGCTATAGTCATGTTCAACTAGGCAGAGGAATTGGTAACAGAATTGGTAGAGGAGGCAGGGAGTTGTGGCATTTGGGAAAGACATAGCAATGAGGACTTGAGGAAGATTCATCAAGAGTATGAAGGCTCAGTTTCTAGACTGATGTTCAGGACAAGCCTCTGGTTTCAGAAGTGACCTATAAAGACGCTAGGAAGGACTGGAATATAGGTAAATAATTACAGGCTTGGGGCTAGGCAGAAGCCAACTTGTTAATACAGTGAAGCCCCAGATATCCTTGAACCAGGGTCAGATGAAATGCGGGGCTCAAGAATGTGTGGCCAGGGCAGTCTCAGGCCAGGCCTAGGGAACAAGCCAGCCAGTGAAGACCTGGATTCAGATCCAGTGATTCTGACCAGGGCAAAAAATATAGGGTTGGGAGCCAGGCTGAGCGGAACTAAAGGCCCTTTATAAATCTTTCATTAGTCTATATTAGATTTATAACTATTGAAGTTTAGTTAGCTATGTGTATACAGGCTCTCTTGATGGGATGCTTAAGTAATCTATTCTGCTACTATTGTGAAGTATAAGAGATCATTAAAAGGTGTGAATATGATTTCTAAATTTTTTTAAAAGGTTTTAGATGTAAGACATTGTGGCTGTTATCCGTATCATAATTTGCACAATAGCAATGAAATGTCCCATTTGAATTCTTGTTTTTATTCATATGCTAACCTACATAATATTTCCATTAATGTAAGTATAACTGATATATTGAATAAACATGGTTTGAGGGATGGAGTAAGAAAAACAATTTTATTTTTTCCTCCCACTGCCACTTTAAAGTGATAAATGTTTTTCCTGCTGCTGGATAAAAGCTCAAGGGAACTGCACAGAAAGTCCCACACTTGCTTTAAATTGTAAAACAGAGCTTGATACAGAAATTAGAATATCTGGTCTACATTTTCATCTTCATTTAAAGGTAAGACTTCCTTCCCCTCTCCTGCCCTCTTTTGCCCCAGCTTCTTCCCATCCTGCTTTGGCAGGGAGGGGATGTGGGGTGTCTCCCAACCAGGCAGCGTTAGGTCCCTCTAAGTATAGAGCTCAGGGAGGGACCAGAAGAAAGGACAAGAACGTTCTCACTTGACTGGCACTTTAATCCTACCTTTTTACTCTCTGGGCCTGGCTGATGTTCAAAGCTGACTTTTTCTCTCTGGTGCTACCCTGGATTCTTTGACAGCTCTTCTGCTGGGCCCCTCTGACCACCCCTCTGTCACCAGGTGGGCAGTGCCCTCATTCTGCTGTCTACTGCTCCTACCTCCTCCGAATTTCCAGACTGTTGGGATCCTCTTGCCCTCTGGCCAAAGCCCTGGTTGAATAGGTGGGATCACTGTTAGCATGATCCCAGACAGAGAGTCTCCCAGTTCTCATTTTATTGTGAAGAGCCAACAGCAGCAAGTCCCTAAGATGCCTCTGTCCTGATCTCCTAGGCCAACAGCCACAGCATCCTCAGGCTTGTGTCCCACACTCGTCCAGTGTGCTCCCTAACCACAGGGGACACTTATTAAGGTCCCAACGGTCTCCTGAAAGACTTTCTTGCCTCATTTAAAAATGGATCAAGCTCTTTTCAATAAGTAAAATTTCGTTATAATTCCACCCTCTAAGTTTGCTCTCCATTGTTTAGGTCATCAAAGTGGGCAAGAAGTTTTAAAGGTACCAAAACTATTATTCATAGTTTTTTTTTTTGAAATTTTACATATAGTCTGACACTCACTTTGGAATTAAATATCTATTGTATCTTGATGCATGAGGCAAAAAGCCCTATTTGATATGCTGTCATATAACAAAATGCATCAGTCAAAAAGATTCTCATAAATAAATGAGAATGAGGGTACAGACAATTTAGAGTTCATTGGGATACAAAATCAATAGGAAAAATAAGAATCCTTATTTATGGTTAGCAACTCAAGCCCAGGTATTATCTCCTAGGGTAAGTGTCCCCCCTCTTTGCAGCCATTCTACTTGAGATATTGCTACTATCATAGCTCTTATCACTTTACATTTAAATTTACTGGATTTTAAGATCTTGGAGAATAAGGAGCTGCACCTATTTTTTTATTTCTTGTGCCTAGCATAGTGTCTGGAATATTGAGAAAGCTCAAGAAATGTTTATTAAACTAAGTTAAAGAAATATGAATTTCTACTTGGACTTTGATGATAACTGGTTGAGTGGCTTAGGAATATAGTGTTCCTGTTTCCCAGGCTCTTTATCAGTAAAATGGGAAAAACTTCAATATATTAATTAATAAAAATGAAAACTAAAAGCAACCAAAATATCATTCTTAAAACAAAGCAATTTATAAATGCCAGCCATTAATCCTATTATATCCCATTTATGGCTGAACTATCGCCAAGATGTGCCATCAGTATGTTCTAGAATCATAAATTTTTCCCAGCCTATTAGACAGAGAGGTGAACTCTGTGTTCCTCTACAGGATTTACTGCCCTCATAGTTCTTGACAAGTCTTAATTTATTATATGTATAAAAAGTAAAATTAAAGTAAGAGAACTTTTGACTTGAGTTATTTTTTTTGGAAGAAAGGTCAGGGAGTGACAACAGCCATGGTAGAAAAAAGCACATATTCTATTTTTGTAACGTCTTTTTGTTAAACACCTGAGAAACCAAGAGGGGACCAGTCTGTTGTTCACTTACACTTTTATGAAATATGCCCGTCCAATTCAGCATATCTTGATGCATTCCTCACCTATTGCCGTGTAAAAAAATCACCTAAAACTGAAAACAACAAACATTTATTGTCTCACAGTTTCTGTGGGTCAGGAATCTGTGGAGGCCTAGGTGGGTGGCTGAGGTTCAGGGCTTCTCAGGCTTCAGTTAAGGTGTCTGCAAGGGCTGGAGTCATCTAGTCTTGACTGGTCCGGAGGATCTGCCGGGCTGACAGCTATCTCTGTTGGCAGAGGCTTCAGTTCCTCCTCACGTGGGGCTCTGCACAAGGCTGTTCATCACATGACTTCCCCCACAGTGAGTGGTCCCGGGACAAAGGAAGCACACTTTGAAGGTAACAGCTGCAAGTTTTTAATACTCTAAACTCAGAAGTGAATACTGTTACTTCTAGTGTATTCAAATCATTAGAAATTAGTCATTAAAACTAATCTACGCTCATGGGGGGGGCAATTAAGCTTTACTTTTGTAGGAAGGAGAGTCAAAGAATTCATGGACATGCTTCCCAGACTACCATGGGCAACATGCTGACTGAAGAAGATAGTTTTAGATAGTTTTAACTTCTTTGTTTTTCAGTTGTCTGACTTTAAGATATAAAATATCTTAAAATAACCCCACTCCTCCCCCCCTGCCAAAAAAATAAAAACTTAAGTAGAATTAACTATATGAAGGCAGCAAAGGAAGTAGTCATTACATTTCACAATATAGGTCAGGCTAAAAGGAAAAAGAAATCCTGCATCTGTGGCTAAGTTATAAAGTATTGACAACAATGAACATGTTTTTGTGTCA